TTACTTCTCTCTAGAAGCTCCGAGTCCATCCATTTTCTCTCTTAAAGCCAAAGAGTGAGTGAACATTTGAACTAATCTTTATCAGTTGAATTCTCTCCTGAGTATGTTGAGCTCAGAAAGAAGAGCATAAAGTCTACAGATTCAACACGATTATATTATCAATGGTACAAACTGCTATAAGATAAGACCTTATAAGGTTTCCCTTTCACTTTTGGAGCAGCCATTTCTATTTTTTTTTTTCAATAAATTTGACCAAGTTCTTAGACTTTCTAAAACTTTATTGGGGCACACACACACACTCACACAAACACACACACACACACACACAGAAAAGGGAATTAGAAGCATTTTCAAAATAAATTTTACTGGAAAATAATATAATTGCAAAAATTAAAAAAATAGTAAATGTCAGAATAGTTACTTCTTAAAAACAAACAATGTAATACAGAAATTGAGAGAACCAGAATTGGCACAGGACACCCCAAGACCAAGTTCTTAGCACAAAGTAGATTTATTTTTCTCCAGAGGGACAAAAAGGCTGTGAAAAAGAGACACAGACAGGAGACAGACGATAAGGGAGAAGGAAAAAAAACAAACAAGGGAGAGGGGGAAGGAATATTGGCCCTGGAGGGATAAGGGACTGCCTCTGAATAGAGATGAGGCAGTAGGCAAACAACAGTCTATAAAGGGAACAGGGACCCTGTGTCAGGATGAGTTGGTTTGTTTGGATTAGACAGGTTTGGTCAGTACAGCATTTTGGTGGCTGGACCTTTCGGTCAGCCTCCAGAAGAGAAAGTGGCCAAATTAGGAACTAGACCTTGGTGGATAAATAATGGCTTAGCAAGGCCATGCTGGGGCCCACTAGAGTACTTTAGGTACTCCTTGAACATTTTGAACTTGAATGATAACTAAAGCTTTTTGTTAAACTACTAGTGAGTTATTTTGTAAATAAAAGTTGCAATTGAATGAGAAGTTACTACAACTAGAATAAATAATTCATGACATGGTTTAATTTAAGTTTTACCACTTGGTTGTGTTTATTGATTCTGGAAGCAGTCACAGAAGAGGTTTCTGATCTGATGGTGTTTATCTAATCTATGCTGAAGTGTGGTGCTTTGGAAAAGTACCAGATCCAGTTCCTAAGGTACTTATTTGCTCTAAATTCATAGCATTGACACTGTGAGCAAGGAAAGCTGTAAGCTGAGAACCAAAGGAAGTGATGACTTATTGCCAAATTATCCTCAAGTCAACAACCCAGAACAGCCTCTTTGCTGTCAAGAGCTGTACAGATACTTCAGGAGTTGCATGGAAATAAGGTGTGGATGTCTTTAAAGTAAGTAAATGACTAAGCAGCCAGGTGAAGCAGAAACAAATACCATTACAATGTGTTAGAAGTAAAAGAAGAAACTAACTCTTCTGACATAGACAAAATGAATATAAAATGGTAACTTAATGAAACATTTGAATATGGTGAAAATACATTTTATGTGAGGCACAGTGAGTAGCCCTCCAAGGTAACATAATTTGTCAAAAGTGATGGAAGAAAAACTCCTTAATAAGTCAATAACATTGAAAGAAGTGGAGAAAATTATCAAAGAAGTCTCCTAAAGTCCTTCCAGCCTACTGGTTTTATGAACCAATGTTTCAAGACTTCAGATAGCAACAGTCACCCAAACATCATTCTAACTGATCTTGTCAGAGTGCTGGAAACATGCTCTCCTTTTTGTCTCTTATCTAGGCTTGTTAAAGACACAAAAACACAGACAGTATGCAGCAAACTTCATCCTACACATCAGTTCAGTAATCCAAGTCCAGAATAAGCCATTAGCAAATGAAACAGAGAAACAAAGTATTATCTATACCCAAGCAGTCCCTCTTGGACAGCTTCTGTCCTGGCAGGGCTAAGAATCATCCAATTGATTTTTAACAGGAAGTTAGCTTTGTCTGCTTTAAGAACCTCTCTGCAAACCTTCACTATAATGTCTGTCTGTCTTTTCCATTCAGCATTTGGATTTCTGAGTTCCACCATGGTGCTGTGTGCTGGCATGTGTCCATTTCCCCTGCTACAAGCAACAGATTATATCTTTGTACTTATCTTTTGTTGAGTGAGCAGCTGAGTTGCTTCCTGCTTGCTACACTTCCACCCCTTCTAAACAAATGTCATTTTCACAAATATAAACTTTTCTGAGTGAAATGCCAGAGTCTCAAGGTTTAATTTAAATTTGCATTGATGCCATGCCAAGGTTCATCCGCTTCACACCTTACCAACACTGGATATTTTCATATTCTTTCATTCTTCTCATTCTGTTAAGTCTAGTGATATGATATCTTTGTTGCTTGAGTTTTAGTTCTTAATGACTAATGAAGTTGAACTTACTTGTTTTCTCTCTCTCTTTATTGAAAATAGATTTTTTTTTCATACAGTATATTTGGATCACAGTTCCCCTCCCCCAACTCCTTCCAGATCCTCCCCACCTCCCCACCCACCAAAATCCACACCCTTTCTTTCTCACATTAGGAAACAACCAAAACAAAAAGCCACACTAGAAAACCAAAACTAACAAATCAATCAGAATAGGACAAACCAAACAGACAAACGGGGGTGGGGGAGAGCCAAAGGAAAAGCACAAGAAACACACACAGGTGTAGAGACACACACTCACACACAGAAATCCTATTTAAAAAAAAAAAATGGAAACCATAATGTACAAGCAAAAGACCTGTAAGGCTTTGTTTTGTTTTGTTTTTTTAAAGCACAGACAAACCATTATGAGACCAAAAAAACAAACAAACAAACAAACAAACAAAAAACAAAAACACAAAACCTTAAAGAATACCATCGGATTGATTTTGTGTTGGACATCTACTGCTGGGCATGAGACCCGACCCTAAATGCGGTTTGTACATCCAGTGAGACTGCACTGGAGAAAACATTTTTTTCCTTTGTGAAGGACTGTCTATTGGAGAGAGCTTCTGGGTTAGGGGTGGGACCTTGTGTCCACTTCCTTTCTCAGCACTGGTACCCCACCTGGCTTAGAGGGGGACAATGTGAGTATGTGGCTCCTGTGAATGCTTCCACGATCTCTGTGAGTTTGTGTGTATATCATCCCCACTCTGTTCTTAACTACCTGAGTCTTCTCAGGCATGGGTTCCATCTTGTGGAGGGGATTACCTTAAATCCACATCTTTTGTGCACAATTCACCAGTGAATCATTCAGGCAGATGACTATTGTACATCAAAGGCTTTTAGCTGGGTTGGTGATTACTTTATCCTCCGGTAGCATCAAGAATACCTTCTTATACCATGAACTAGTCAGTAGGGGTGAAGGCCTTAGGTAGGTACCAATTTGGCGTGTGTGTGTGTGTGTGTGTGTGTGTGTGTGTGTGTGTGTGCGTGCGTGCGTGCGTGCGTGCGTGTGTGTGTTTGGTGAATCATGTGGATGTTCAGTAATACAGCCTAACCATCACTTGTGGAGAGCAAGCAATAGCCATGGCAATAACCTGGGTTGTTTGGGGGTTTCCATGGGACTTCTCTGGCCAACAATTCAACTAGAGAGCGCTGAAGGCTTCATTTGGTGGTGAAAAATGTCTGATTAGAGTTTTGTCTCTCCTGTTACTTGGTGATTCCACTTAGATTTCTTTCATCCATATATATGTAGATGAAAAAATATATTTCTTTCATCCATGTAAATGTAGATGAAAAAATATATGTATATTTATATTTTAAGAAATTTCAAGTATAGGTTTCCACATGACCCCTCAGGTCTCCCTTAGTTTTAATTGTCCCTCCTCATATCTCCTCTCTTATTCACCTTTTCTTTTCCCTTTGTCCAATAAATCTGCAGACTATATATAAAATATATACATATATGTGTGTGTGTATGTACACAATATATGAATGTATAACAATACACATATATATGGCCCTGTAATCACAGAAGTTAGGTACTGAGTAGTATTGAGTATAGGATTCTGAGGAAGGAGAGGTTTCCTGAGGAAAAAAAAATAGAAAATAGTCATAGATGGACTGGTTGTAGGTGGAGGCTGGAATAGGAGGATTTATTTTTTTCTTTTTTAGTTTTTAATAGGACACTTAGGACAGAATTTCTTTTCTTTGAATCCCTGTCAGTGTCCATTTTTCTTTTGGAGTCTCTCTCTGTTTCTCTTCCTTTCTTCTCTTCTTTCCTTCATTTGTTCCATCTTTCAATCCTTCCTGAGCACTCTCCCCCACATACATAATGTATCAATTCATTATATTGTCTCTCTTTCCATGCTGCTTCTAGTTTTCTACAGACTCTTTCTTTGTGTATGATAAATATTCACAAAACAGAACCAATGTGTTATCATTTCAGCATCACCCTCAGGACCTGACACCAACTGTTATCCTTACAACATCTGCTTAAAGTTAACTCTTGACCTAACCCTAACCTGATTAGTAGATTCTGTTCTGCTGATGAGTTCATCAAAGGTTCTAGTCCTGTGGTTGTTTTGGAATTCTGAACATCATTTTTAAAATACTATTTTTCTAGGAAAATTGAAGCAAAACCAGAATGAGGCATCTTATGGAGGTAAATTGGTATATTTTATATATTAAAATATAAAATCAATTACTACTGTAGTTGAAAAATGATTATTTGGGAGAATATGAAGGTCACATAGACTCTTTCTACCCTCAGGTTGAACTTCAAATGTGCAATTTCTCTACAGCTTACTTTACCCTTAATATTTTCTTCCTCAGTGGAAGTTACCTGTTAACTTAAAGGTGTTTCTGCTTCCTTCTCCTATTTTTCCATGTCACCAAACTCAGTGTTTTGGGGTATGCATCTGCTCTTTCATGTAATAAGCTTTCCAATTTTGTTATCACTCTTCCTGTATTCCATTTTAGTTCCATTCACTGAATCTATATCTCATCGTTTTATGATAACCTAGAAATTAGCTAGGATTTATAAATATTGTTCCATCTTTAGAATTGCCCTATTCTAGGTAGTCTTAACACACTCTGTTTAATCTTAGCATGTTTATTTTAACAGCATTTAACCACATAAACACCTATGTTTCCTGAAGTATTATAAAAATAACAAAGTTAATTCTTGGTTATAGGTTTAAATTCTGCTCTGTGCTGTTTTATAGCTCATAGATACAATTCCTAGAAGATCTTCTCTGTGTTCATAGCAGTCCCCATGAAGGTATTTATCATATTTATTCAGATTGAGTTCAAAGGCAACGAGAGTTGACTTCAAGTTCCTCTACCAATTTTCACCCACAGTTGCATTTTGGAAAAAAGTCTGGGGAAGTCCAAAATGTGGCACCTGGGTTTCCCCAGACTAACTCACTCTGAAATGTAGCCTGGGCATATGTTTTTGAAGTTCTTTGGGAAAAGCTAGCACTTAACCAGAATAGAGAAGTGCCGTGTCTTCAATCGTGAGTGTGAAGAAAGAATGGTGATAAGCAAAATATGTTAAGAAGTCAAGGGTCAGTACTTCATTTAGTTCTCCAACTCTACATCCTCAGAGGCGGGTAAGAGTCCTTTCTTTGGCCCAGTTCTGGATTTCTGCTTGTCCAAATATAAGGTAAAAGATCATACCAAACATGTTGACGGCAGCAGACAAGAAAAACACATTTCTCCATCCTGTTTCAGAATCCTGGACAAAGAAATACACAATAATTATTAATATCATAAATTCCTCTACCACCAATTATATAAATCCTCTACTTTGATATTATAATACTAATCACAAAAATATGAGATGACAAATACAAAACAAACTTAGCATCTTGTTAGTCCAGTGCAGTCATAAAACTTTTGGGAACCAAATGACTCTGAAAAATACATTGGGTCCTATTATGTTGTAGCTATTTCTTCGCACAATGACAAATTAAGCAATACTGATATTTTCCCAGAAATCTGGCTTTCAACAATTATGAAAATGAAGCTTTACAGTAGTGATTAAAATACATCATTAAGATCTGTTCTTCTTGCCTCGTTTAGTTTTTTTGGCTGTTAAATTCCATCAGCTCAGGACCACTCAGTGCAGTGTAAGCTACACTTGACCTGTTTGAGAAATCCTCCTGTCATGCCAGTCATAGTTCATTGTTGGTGTTATCACCATAGTGAATTCTTATAAATTTACTGAGAAATCAGCCTGGAATCTAGGGTAGCTAGGTGTACAAAACACAAAGCAAAGATTTGCTTCTCAAGTTGACACTCTTCCATCCTAGCCAGATTCTTCCAATTTTGCCTTCCCTCTTGCTCACTAGTGCATACCTGCAGGTGTAGAGCAAACCTCCTACCCTATGCTCCCTGAATGCTCATAGCCATTCTCTTCCATCTACAATTTAATGTCCTTAAAGTGACCCTGGGATACTTAGTTTTCCCTTTTATGAGGTTAAAAACTGACTATAGTTGATCTGGTTGGACATCCATGGTCTCCCTCTTCCTTCCTTCTGTCTCCATCACTTACTAATTCTTGACATGCTTCCATCATTGTAATCATAATGAAGACCTCTTTCTTGTCAAATTGCTTGTAAGCCTAGTTTTTAATTGCTGAGCTACCACTCCAGCCCCTTCTCACTCTTTTCACTTTCTGGAAGTTATAGAAAAACTGTCATTTGCACTCAAACAGCTAATTTTCACAAAATGAATACCCATCCCTCTTGAAAAACTCAGCTTCCATTTTTCTTTTCCTGGGAAGCATGGTGCACCAGAGTCTGCTTTAGAGGTCTTCATGAACTGAGTGCTCAAATCCATGCTTGCTTCCCCCAGCCAGCCATACCATCTTTGAGAGCACAGTGCATATTTTCAATGCCTAAAGCAATACCTGCCACTTGCAGATGTTCAATAACATGCCCAACCTGACTGATGAGGAATCCGGTGGTAGTAGAAGAGATGATTCCTGCAGTAAGCCCAAATCCCCTTGAGATGCCCATGAGGAAACTTGCGTATCTGTGGAGGAGATGATTTTATGTAGAAACCATCTATGCAGCCCTTGAACTTTCATGAAGCACATTTCTAATGGTAAGGTCTCTTGGCCTAGTGCAGTTTTTATTCCTAAAGAGATCTGTTCACCAGCTTTGAAATTATCTGTCCACTGAATTGATAGCTAGAAAAACCAGAGAATTAGTCCCTGTGGGAACTGAGTTTTTTCCACCACAGTGCTGAGTGCAGAAGGCAGTTTGCATAACAGGCAGGATATTGACCTCAAAGCTACACTCTGCTTTCAGATCCTGGCTCTGGTGTGGTCATTGCCATATCCTGTATACCCTTGTATATAGCTTGTCTCCTCTCCCTGAATCTGAGGGTCATAATAGGATCTACCTGATGTATTTGTGATGATGACACATATTGATTTATGAGAGAATGTGTTAGCATAGGTCTGGTTCATGGTAAGTAGCCCATGTGTGGTGGCTGATAGGATAAACACCCTGAAAATTTCCAAAACAGATGTCTGTGGCCTTTCCCCAAAGCACACAGTCTAATCTCTTATCGGGAAACTTGAAAAACTTTCATCTAGCCAGGAATGAGACACATGGTCATGGCTAGGAACCAACATTTCTAGTTACCTGTCACTCAGCCTTGATTTAGTATATGCATCAAGAGCAGAAAGGCTTTGCACACTAACACTGACAGCTGAGGTCTACCAGCACTTGGGTGGTCTGATGAAGGTAAGATGCAAGCCCTTACCTGGGGGCAACATCTAGGGTGTTGATGATGAACCCCGAGTCACACAGATTGCTGGTCCCAGGAATGAGTATCAACAAAACAATGGTTGTTATGTAACTGGAAGTCACAAAGGGCAGGGCCACAGCACAGACTGATGGAAGAAGGAGCCCTGGAGAATGAGGAAGCAGTCAAGTGGCTTCTTAAATTCCACATGGGATGGGTGTGGTTGCCTGAACCCACACACCTGTTCTTACCCAGGGATGAAAAGAGTTTTCGAACTGTGATTAAGCTGAGAAGATTCCTGGACAGAAGGAAATCTGCCATCTGACCTCCTAAAACTGTACAACTTGAGGCAGCAATAAAAGGCAGGGAGGACAGAACCCCACTCTGAAAGAAGGAAATGGACACAGAACATAACAGAGCAATGCAAGGCACCAGCATATATCACACAGACCCATCTTAGCCTAACCTTTACCTCAAGCTCTAGGCTGCTTGAGGGAAACCAGCACCTTTGCCACACTGTCCTAAGTAATAGAACCGCCTCCTGAGAAAAGCTATGTCACTTTCTGGGGAAAACTTCTGGACCCATGTGAGTGGCAGAAGACCATAGTGATTAAGAACCCAGATGCACAGCAGCTCCACCGTGCAGTAGCCACATAACCCAAAGCAAATTACCTCACCTCGAGTATCCCAATTCCACTGCCATGGAATGGGAATCATGGCACTGGCTCTGTCATCGTCATTGTGGAGGTTAAATGATCCTATGCACTGGAATATAATGGACAGCACAGTCTAGCAGTCATTATTGTCACAGTGATAGTAGAGGAGTGTACTCACATCTCTGATGTTAACGTGGAGCACTGTACTGATGTATGTCGGTAGGTATGTTAAGATTATGGTGCATAGCCAGAAATGGCTGAAAAAACCCATGAAAATGGCCCACAGTGGCAGGCATCTGACCATGGCCTTGATGGGGATGCATCTTCTGGGAGAACTAGACTGAAAAAAGCATCAATCAACATTGGCATTAGGATAGGTCTCCCTAGAAACAGTGTTGTGCAGATCTCCATGGCCCACAGGTGTAAGGAGAGGGCGCAGTGTACCTGCTGAGCCAGTGAGGATGAGATATGTTCCTTTTCCCTCGCGCTTATGCATGGGTGATTCATGGGATCATCATAAATCACTGTGAACCACAGAACACAGCAGACACAGCCAATGCTACCTGGGAAGTAGGGGTGAAGTTAATGTTCAGGTAGACTCATATTTTGGAAGAACAGGCTTTTTCCTTAAAAAAATCACAGCCTTTCTATCACATATATCAACTTAGGATTATTCCACCATAAAAACCTAAGTTTCTCATATCTTCTTTTTCACTCTGCAAAACTCTTAGGTGTCAGAATCTTGGAGATACTGTGAGCATGAATAAATCACAGTGTAGCTGAGGTTTAGCGATCCAGTGTTTATACTCACATGGTCTTAACAGTAATTTCTTAGAACACATATCATTGTCTTGTTTTGGTTAGAACTGAAGGGAAAAGTAATTATGCATGCATGAAACTACTGGCCATAAAGTTAGTCATTGTGGCACAGAAATGTTTCTAATATGTCTGCAAGAGACTGCACTTTGTATTCAAACTATAGATCACTTGTGGAGTCCCAGGAGAAGCTCTTCCATGCCTGGTTAACATATGTGAAACAAAATGACTGGGATTCATGTCATTATGGAGGATGTACCTCATGCCAGGAACATGTTTAACAATACCATTGGGCTAAAACAAAAGAACAAACTGTACAAAGTTGTCTACTTACTGGGATTTTTCTCATTTCAAAAATATTCTATGTTAAAAGATGTTGGGAACTAATGTTCTTTAACTCCCTCCCACTTTATTAGATTAATCTATTATTTTCTTGGGAGCTAAATATCCGATGCTGTGATCACCAAAGTAATCTGTAAAACACCATATAATGAACTATTTGGGGTAAGGATTGCACAGCTTAGTGAGAAGATGAGAAACACATTAGAACCTAAAGGAAGTACCAGGAAGATCACAGAGCAGGGAATGGCTGGACCCGATGGATAAGCCACAGAAGGTTCCATGAAGGAAGGAACATCTGAATTAAGCTTTGCATGATTCATTTGGTAAAGAACAGGCTAAATACATAGTGGAAGAAGGTACTAGTTATTATAAAATAAGACACACTGAAGATGCACTCAACCAGCTTTGATGTCTTAACTATACACAGAGTCACAGACTTCACTTCATATATGATGGTAGAGATGCTGGAGAGGTGTGTGTGGCAGGCAGGGCAGGCATTGTAACTGCTTTCTCCTAAGCTGGATTGTGAAGAGTGATCTTGTCTGCTCTGTGCATGTGGATTGTCCACACCTGTGAAGGTGTGAGACCAAGATACATGAACTACATTAAGAAAGCTACCATCCTCAATGTGTTTCAACACTTTTCATTTAACAACGGACATGGTAAAAGTGATGTATGTATTCAAATCAATGACTGAAAAATGGAAGTATGATTTGAATTTAAATTATGATTTAAGAGACAGTGACTCACCAAAGATATAGAAGACAAAAGGCCAGCCCAATGCTTGTGAGATTAATCCCCCTACACAGAGGATGATGAAGGACCCAAATGCGGCCCCTAAGGAGAAGACAGAGAAAAGTCACTTATGAAATAGCAATGGCTACATTGCGGATATTGTGCTTACAGTGAGGTAGCTGATTTTGAATTACTGTGTGATGAGAGGATTCATCCTGTTTACTAGACTCTTCCAATATCACGTGAAATAACAAGCACTGTAATAAGCACTAGTTTAGTTTACCTTAGTGGCTCCTTAGCAGCAATGTGACCAACTCTAACTGCTCAGCTTGTCATAGGTACTCTCTGCAAGTACAACTTAACAGAATTAAAAAGGTACAGTCCCTGCCTTCAAGGAAATTGTAGCCTAATTGGTGAAAAAATGAGCAAAATTTACTCTCACAAATGTATTCCAACTCAATTCCAATTGGACCTTGGGGTCTACACTGACAATAGCAACAGCCAGTCATGATGGCACATATCTGCAATCCTAGAAAACAGGAATCTCAGGAAATAGGAATCATATGAATTTGAGGCCACTCTGGGCTATGGCTATCTATATAAAACCTTGTCTCAAACAAAACCAAACTATTACAGTTATACATTTACAGACAATGCAATTCACAGTAGGAAATGCATTTTACACAGCAATATTACATATATCTAGTGTACATAAACACTTGCACATACAACCACATATACAGAAATGTTTCATGAGTCACCTGTGCAGTCTGAACGCAATCCAATGTATTCCACTCCACTCCATTCCATTCTGTTCTCTCCAACCCTATTTTATCCTCTCTGTCCATGTTCATGTTTTAAATTTGAGGCTTTGGTGCCACTAAATTGATATCATGATATGGTCATATGTCTTCAATTTGAAAAGTGGTGCAGAATGTAAGTGTGACAACAAAATTATAATGTGCAATGGGAAAAGATAAAGTTAAATTAATAGCAATTGGAAGACTAAACAATTACCTCAATGGAACAAAAGATAAATTAAGCATTGATAGAAAGAGAAGAAATCCAGCCAGAGAGGAAAGATTAGCTGGGAGAACTTTGAGATAGAAGAAGTTGTGGCAACGCTGCTGGAGAAGCAAACAGGAGGGCTTCTATGAGGGAATAGACAATAGGGTGTGACTTATACTGGACACCTGAGTGAGATATTGCTAGAACTTCAGTTCTGTTCTTCACATATGTGTTCTCAGGTCTATAAGTTGCTCTATCCTCCCTGCAAAACATTATAATGTACTCACTTGTATTAATGGATAGTAATAACGCATGGCCACGATTCTTCAATAACTCCTCGATACCAATACCAATGTGACCAACTCTAAATACCTTAGTTTGCTATGCACCCTCACCTGAGCCAGCAATGCTGGTGAGTTTGCTCCTTTCAAGTGGAGGGGCCCACTTTGCCCAAATTGTAAACTGACCAGTCCATGCCATTCCCTGCAACAAAAGTCATTAAAATCTTTGTTCTCTTGGAGATGTTGGAAATCCATGTCCCACTCAGTCTGAGAAAACATCTGGATACCTGGGCCATCCCCTGGACTGTGCGAATGGCAATGACCAAAATCACCCCAAAGTCAGCAGCCATTGGAGTAAACAGCGTGAGCAGGGATGAGATGAGCAAACCAGCACCAAGTATGTGCTTTGCTCCAAATATCCCTGCTAGATATCCACTTGGTATTAGTGTCAGTATGATTCCATAGCTGATGGAGCTAAAAATTATGCCCTGAGTCTCCGTGCTCCACTGATAAACAGCAGCCTGGAAAAGAAGAAAAAGGACAAGTAGGTGAATTCTCTTTGCTAAGTCCTGATTTGAAAATCTACTTTATACCCACAATTGTTCAATATTCAAGAGGTTTTATTATAAAAGTAATTAATTTTGTTTAGGTTTATTTTCTCTCAAATTTTTCCCTAACTTATTATCTTTATTTGTTTGTTTTACAAGTAACCATCTCTGTTCCTAATTTCTTTCCCTTAAAAAGAGAAAAATTTTAAACATAAAAGAAAAAGATAGATAATTGTGAGGCTGGAGAGATGTCTTAGCTGTTAAGAGTACATGCTACTCTTGCACTCAGATTCGGTTCTCAGAGTCCACGTGGTAGCTCACAACTGTCACTAAATCGCTAGTGGACCTGATGGGTTTTTTTTTTTTTTTTTTTTTTTTTTTTTTGGCTTCTGTGGACACCAGGCACATATATGGAGAACATACATACACAAAAAATAAAAATAAATAGATCTTTAAGAAAAGGTGAATAATTGCACAGATGAGAGGATGAAAGCAGTAAGTAACCACAGCGGGATGGCTTAGTTGTTAAAGAGCTTCTTTTAAAACCTGAGCACCATTGGTTCTCATTGAATAAAGTAAACACAATTTGGTTGATTTCTTATCAAGATCAACCTCTGACTGAAAAAAAAAAAATTAGTTATGTATGGTGTGCCCAGAAGAGCCAAGTTACTAAGATATACATTATGAATCAATAAATACTTCTGACATAACACATAATTTTGATAGTCTCTAGATATTTAGATCTAGAATCATAAATTATACCACCAAGAATGTAAAACAGGAAATATTTTATTCATTTAAGATAACTCTTACCACCTCGGTGTTGGTGGAACATGCTTTTAATCCCAGCATTAGGGAGGCAGAGGCAGGCAGATATCTGTGAATTTGAGGCCAGCCTGGTCTAATTAACAAATATCAGGACAACCAGGGCTACACAGAGGGACCCTGTCTCAAAAAATATGTAAGGAAAAAGGTTGATTATAACTTCGAGTATATGATTCATGTTAGAATTAACATTTGAAGATGGACATAAATAGAACAGAAAATTTGAGGAAGGGAAGAAAGTTTGGAAAGGTCCAAGAGAGGGAACAATTTTAGCCACCTTTTGAAGAATGCCTGTGATATGTGTAAACAGAACAAGGAAAATGCATTCCTATTGGATAAAAAGAAAACTAAGCTGTGGCATCAGGGATCTGAGCTGCTTCCATACTGACAGCAACAATGGCTGGCTGGCTCAGAGAAGATACTTTTCATGGCTATTTATGGATGGGATTGTTCTGAGGAGGAGGACCAGGCTCTGGTGGAGGAGCACAGCATGTCCTGACACAGGTCATTTAGCTTGAAGGTGCCCTGAGTTCCCAAGCACAAGAGTGTGAATGAGTAGGTGAAATACAATATAATACAATCATAAATCATGGATTATTGGGATGACATTAGGAATGTTTAGTAAATGAGAGGATAAAAGATGCATGCAAAAATAGGTTATCTTTATGATTCTTACACAAACATGAACATGTTAATAGAGGTATTATTTAACTCATTGGTTAATGAAGGAATTGGTTAAAATGTGGTAGCTTGTGCAAAGCTGAGATGGAATTTAAATAGATGACAAACTGTCTTACTCAGCCACAGTGGGGGAGCTGCTGACTGGGGAAGAGTAGAGACAGATTCTCCACAGGACTAGAATCATAAGCATTTCTATTCATCCTATAGAATTTGAAGAACTGTAAATAGCTAAAAATGATGAAGGCTGCAGGAACTCAAGCAGAATTAGATAACCCAGAAGGGTTCCTCTAGACAATAACTAGTTTTTTTCTGAAAATGCCCAAGTAGTTTATTCGTCCTGCTTTTAAATTGCTAACATTTTCTTACAACTTTTCCATAATATCACTTCAAAGAATGATTATTACTATCACAGACTCAAGTAATGCCTTAAAAATCATTTCAGTTCTTTTTGGTTTACAGTTTAATTCTAGCAGCAGAGTTAAGACCAAGCCTCCCCTTCCTGTTATTCCTTCTTGTCACTGTTGTTTTCTCTCAGCAGACAGCCTTCTCTCAACCACACTTACCCGTGTGCTAAAATCCTTGATGCTTCTGCTCCGGTTACTGAGAGGGTCTGTCAAAGGCTCCTCAATGGATGTGTTAGCTGGGTCCTGATGCTGTGTATTGTTCACCATGGCGATGATGGCAATGCTCAGACCCACACGCTGCGTTATCATGGTGAAGTTGGAGAAGTGCATGATGAGAGCCAGCCCATAGCGTAATGAGCAGAAACCTGAATTTTGGCAGAATAGAATTACATAGTGAGCACCCTGAAGGACACTGCTCTTTTCCATTTCTTCCACAGTTAAATCTGAAAGGACTCCAGATCATACAACTCAATACAACTGTCTTGTTTTTGTTTCATTTGATTTTGTTTTCATTTTTCATCCTTTTTTCTCCCCTGTCTTTCTCCACCACCCCCTTTACATACTGAAGACTAAATCCTAGCTTTGCATGTGCTTACCAGGCAAGCAGTCCACCACTGACCTTCACCCCCAGCCCTTTTCAGAATGCTTTTGAGACTGTTCCCATTAAGTTGCTCAGAATGGCTTTGAATTTACTTTGTAGCCCAGGAAGACCTTGAACTTGCCATCTCTTCTGCATCAACCTTCCATGATGCCAGAACTACAGACCAGTTGTCATCAGGCCCAGCCAATTCCAATGACTCCTTTTCACCACCAGGCCCAGCTAATCCCAGTGATCCCCTTTCACCTCCAAACTCCATTGCCATACTATTTTGCTAGCTTTCTTACAACGCATGAGTTTGGGATCTTGCTAATATGGTCTTCTTTTAGAGGTATGGAGATAGATGATGAGTAAAGGAAAAATTTTGTTGCAAGGGTCTCATGCTGCATTGCTCCAAAATAAGAGACTAAGGAAAACAAGGCAGAGCTAATCATGAATGCTGACTCTCTGCATTGCAAATGGTCCATCTCATTTAGCACATTCATTTCTCACAGAGCTTTGTGAGATTATACATTGAGAGCTGCCTTTCAGAGACACTACTTCCCTGTTTGAGGATTCTCCTTTGAACTGTCAGAGAAACAAGGTTCTTCTCCTTTCCTATTATGAATGCTCTCTCTCACTATCCCAGCTTTCGTCTTCCTCTTCCTCCTCCTCTTCTTCATATTATCTTCTTCTCCTCCTTCTCCTCCTCCCCTCCTCCACCTCCTCCTCTTCATTGAGGCAAGGTCTTATTTTATTGCCTAAGCTAGTCTGGAACCCCTAGGCTCAAGCGACACTCCAGCCCAAGCTCTCAAAGATCTGGGACCACAACTGTTGACCATGGTGCCCAACTGAGAGCTAATACTTCACAGTCCTCTGAACATTCTATTGATTCCTTTCCCCTGGCTGTGTGGCTCTTCAGATTTTCAAATATGTAGAAACAATTTTTACTAAACTTATTGGTAAAATTATCTTTTTACAGAATAGTTTTTACAGGATGTGTAACACACATGTATATATTTATGCATTCAGCATACTTCCAATAGATATGTGTGTACTAATATTCTATGTCTATTTCCAATGAAATAAAACAATGGGCTAATATTAGAAGGATTTCCATGTGACTGATGGGTTAGGATTTTTTCCTCTGTATATTTGGAAAACTGATTTGTGGGACACAAACAGGATCTGTGAAGAAACAGAAAAATAAATGGAAGAAATCTCCAAGTAGCCTGAGGAGTAGTACTAGTTGCTTGCAAATGAATTATTTCAGTATCAATCAATTTGAGTTTCCAAGCTCAGAGGAAGTGGCCAGCCATTTGACAAATGTGTTACACTGGGATCTATGCCTTAGTTGGCAGTTTGCTTTAAAATCACTTGTTCAAAACTCATTACATTTCTCAGATACAGGATTTATTGATCATTAGGTTAAATTTCTGCCAGATTAATCCATGATGTCTCTTAACAATAAAGCAGCAGATGACATTTTGGGATCGAGGCTGGGTCTGTTTCAATTAATCCAGTCCTCAAGAGGCTGAAATAGGATCAGAAGTTCACTAAGTGCATCCAGAGGAGCAATATAATGAAACAGCAGGGGAGGACAACAGGCGACAGCGAAGACACAGGAGCCAGGCACTGAGTCTTCTCTACTGACCTGCAAATGAGAACAATGGCCTTACCTTTCCTGGTTGTAGGCTTCTCATCCATTTTGCTTCTCTGGGGAATGGTGTGTACTCTGTGGTGGAGTTTCCCTCAGCCCCAAATCACTGTCACCACAACAGACTTGGACCTATGAGAAGAACAGCATGCAAGAAATGACACACAGCCCCCTCCTGCCAATGATGACTCCTCTGGGGATCAGGAAGAGGTGGGCATTTTGTGATGTCTACATTCTGACTCCCATAGGTTCTGACTGTGCTTTCAGTAAACCATGTTATCATCATAAGAGCAAAGTGTTTAAATTCTCTAACTACCCATGTTTGCATCTGTTTAGTAAATTTGCTTCCTGAATGGTGCTATAAAACTGAAAGAAGGAAGCTGTGAAGGCTTTTTCAAGGCAGGAAGGACCATGCAATGCTAGGAAGCATCATGACTTATAGCCGGCTGTAAAATATGAAAGTTGAGCTCTAGAGCTGAAGATGAAGACTGCAGAACAGCCTTTACTCTCATCCTGACCATTTTCCTATTCCTTCTGAACAAGCAAGGTGTTCTGTGTCATCTTCCTTGAAGATGCTGCATGATCTTCACAAGTTAATTATCAACTTGTTATAATCACCTGGGAAGATGAACCTATCTATGAGTACTGTTTTGTTAGATTAGGATTATGTTAACTAAGATGAGTAGTTCCATCCAATGCAGGTGGCACCATTCCCTAGGCAGGGGACCCTGGACTGCAAAGAACATTGAGCACTAGCATGCATGCATTACTCCCTTCTTCTGACTGAGGATGTAATATGAGCAGCTGCTTCAAGCTCCTGAGGCCTTAACTTCCCTTCCACAATTAAAAGAGCATTTAATTGAGCAGACATCTTTGAAACATTTATAAAATTATAGTAAATGGGGCCTTCTGCTATAATCACAAGTGATTTAGCTACGTTGAAAATAAAATTTATGACCCCAAATATGGATATGTTTAATTCAGTATTTGTATAACTTTGGGAGGGTTATATTCATTTGCTTCTTTTATGGAAGTACCTACATTTTAAGAATCTTGTACATTATATTCATTTTATGACTGTTAAAACCACCTGCATCCTGTTTATGTTTCAGAATTCAGGATTTTATACTTTCTGAACCCTAATTTAAAGAGATATCCTCACACTCTTATAGATTCTCATAATCTGTGACTTTAGGACAGAGGGCTATGATGGGAGATATAGATGAAGAATGTTATCCATTGTAATTTTATTTTACAATAAAGTATTGGTGACACAGTAATCAAGTTGTAGGGGTTTGGACAGTCAGTTTTGAGGAATTCTTGTCATGGACTGTGTTAAAACAATGATTTTAAATATATTGAGATAATATTGCAGAAATACTTATATTCAGAAAGTGTAAGCATGATAATGTGTAACCCACATACAGAGAAAAATTTACACAAGTAGAACCATGGATGTTCCCAAGGGCCAGACTCTGGGAGTTACCTTAACTTTATTATTCACTATTTCTCATATTTAGGATGTTTACGTGTATGTGTTCGTGTATGTTCAGGATGTGTGCATGTGTGTGAGGGTGCATGGGGAAGCCAGAGGTCAGACTCACATGTCATTCCTCAAGAGCTGTACATCTTGTTTTTTGAGTTAGGGTGTGTCACCAGGACCTGGGTGTGTAGATTGGGCTAGGCTGGCTGGCCAGGAAGCATCAGGATTCTCCTGTTTCTACCTCTTTACTTCCTTTTCTCCTTACCTCCCTACCTAGAAGGAGCTGAGTTCACTTACAAATAATTATTAGACTTCTCAATTTTGAGATATTCATTTTTTCCTTTCTTTTCTTTTCTTTTCTTTTCTTTTCTTTTCCTTTCTTCCTTCCTTTCTTTCTTTCTTTCTTTCTTTCTTTCTTTCTTGCTTGCTTGCTTGCTTGCTTTTGGAGACAGGGTCCACTGTGTAGACCAGGCTGATCTTGAACTTCTGATCCTCCCATTTCAGCCTCCTGAGAGCTGAGATTAATTGAAACTTTATTTTATTACAATGGACCCACGTCTAGCTATGAAGAACAGATGAGTACAGGGCTGATGTTGGCTGGCTGTTCAAACCTGGAAGGCTTCCAAGTCTCGCTAACATCTGGTTGATTCAAGAATTCATCCCACTGTTTTACACACAGCTCTAGAGGAAAAGACAACAGCCTTTCACTAAAGGTGCAATTCACTGGTGAAAAATGTGTACAGAAGATTAGAATGTTACCTCATCCTTAGTTTCCAAAGTCAGCACTGCTTGAGTTTCTATCTATAGTAGAGCCTCCTTTTATCTTCTTATTATTTTAAGCTTGAGCTTAAAAAACAATAACTAGCTTCATTCTGAATTATGAGTTTTAATCATTTATTCCCAAAGGACATTTGATGATAAAACGTTTAAACTGAGCTTCGATTTGGATATTAAAGAAAACAATCCAATTGTCTCTTGCCTGTTCTGTTAGTGGAACTATATTATAATCCTGTTCTGATCATGGTTTCACTCTAAGCCTAAAAGGAATGAATCATCTCAACAGCATTTTGTTTCCCCCAAGGAGTGCCTCTAGAACCTCATGTGTATTAGTCATATTAGTCAAGCACTCTGAGCTACATTCCACCACACCAGGTGGTGTCAGATGGTTTATACTGTCTGCAAGTATTACTTTGAATTTTGTCTGAATAGTTTTCTGTTGCTTTGTTGTTGCTGTGAATAGTTTTCTGTTGCTTTGTTGTTGCTGGTGTTTCCTTTTCATAAGACAAATACAAAAACTAGCTATTCCAAACTGTAGTCTTTCTATGATGTAATCATGTACACCATGCTCCTAAAACAGTCATCAGGGTTCACAAAGTCACAAGTCACCAGTGTGATTGATAAAGAAAGTTCACTTATTCTAACTGTAAACAAATAAACAACTGAGACCATGGAAATTTTCAAAGACCTTCCTATTCAGGAAATGATAGTGAATCCCAGTAACAACGTTTCAAGGAGACATAGAAACACTGATGTGAAATTAAGTTAAATTTGTGTTTAAGAAGGTTTATGACAGTATAAGTTGCATTTAAGAGGAAAGGAAAATACAGACATATGGTTATGCATATACGGTTTTATTTGAGGGGAAGTGGGAATATAAACATTATGGTTGCATAATGGGCTTCAGCCTATTCTTCTTAGCCTAGAACTCATTATTTTGTTGCAACAGTATTTCTAATACTCTTGCATTTTCCCTAACAAACTGCTTGTCTTGCATAATTTTGTTAGCCCAGTCTCCTGGTTTACTCAGAGCAAATGTTGCATATTGTTCAAATATCAGGAGATAGCAGTCCAGAGCCTGAGTTCCCACTCTGTGCAAATCAAAGCAAGTTTCATAAACTCTTAGAGCCTTAATTGTTTCAGAGGGAAAGAGGGATTGATATTTCATGGAACTGTTTGTGTGAACACAAAATATGAGGTGTGTCTGGGTCACCACAAGACGTTCTACACTGTCAAATGTCACTGGTATTGACAACAGCAGTAACACTAGTATGTCCCACTCAGACTATGTAAGGCCATCTCAGATCATTAACAAATATGGGCATTTAGCAAATAAAAACATTCTAATAAAATAGTTGGTTTTAAACTTTTTAAAAAGTGAGTTTCTCTGCCTTGGAATCTACAAGTGTGCTTATCTTGTTGATGAAGAGAGTGCTTATCTTGCCACATACCTCAGAAAATGTGGGGAAAACAATCCCCGGAGTGTTAGGCAAAATGAGGTCCTCATCTGCTCTCTACTTTTCTGAGGGACAGAAATAAAATGAGCTATTCTATGTTTTATCACATCACTCAAACAATGCATTTATAAGTAAAATCATGGCAAAAAAAGAAAGAAAGAAAAGAAAAAACAAGAAAGAAAGAAAGAGAAAAAAAATATGTTCTAGGGCCGGAGATGGAAAATCCTAGAAGTCAGGGTTATGCCAAGAAGCTGAGCACACTTCAACTGTAATGCCATCCACAACTCAGGAGTAGCCTTGCTCGGTTCTACTTCCCAGTCTAGAGCTGTGCTTTCCAGTCAGGATTCCCTCCTGGTATGATGAGCGAGGTGTCCTCACCGAACCCTTTCTGCTATAGCTCCCACTCATAAACAACAGGCACCCACCACAAGTCTCTCTGGGAACCTCTTAACTGAACAAAGGCAACAAGCCTTCTGGAAACATTCAAGTTCTCTGGGTTTCTATCTTACTCAGACTTCTGTCAGTTCCATTTTCTTGAGAGCCAAGATCAAGTACCTTGAAACCGGATGACTGACTAACCCCAGTCCTGAAGCTAAACCTTGTCAAGTACATTTTTCATTGTTTGATCCTACAGCCAAAGCCAATTGAACTCATCTACATACCACAGCCAATACTCACACGTTCCTCTGGCTAGTGACCACTGACCACCGTGGCCCTTGGCACCAGTGGCTCTCAAGCCTTAGCGTCTTGACTGAACGGTTATTTTGTAAGAAAACCTCTTCTTCACTTTGGAACCAGGCACCATTTCCAAATGGAGATCCTCAGGCTGCAGTTGGTATGTTTTTGAGTGCTTGTAAAATTAACGAATGCATCTCTGATAGTTTAGTAATTACCATCCTATTTAAAAGAATAACGGCACTTACCTTCACCATTAAACTAGTATTTGAAGCCCTAGACTAGAAAGCTAGCTTGGAGACAAGAGGGCGTTCCTGTCTCTCCTTCCCTCCACTGGGAAACATAATGAGTCACGTGGGAATGGGACCCCGCCAGGTTTGACCCTGTGCTCTCAGTACAGGGAGTCTGCATGGTTTGGCAGCTTAATTTTTAACTTCACTTTCAAGTTTTCACTGACCCAGTGAATATCTCAAAGATATCACTATGTTTTTTTCTGCTTTGAACTGCGCACACAGCCATTCAGTTAACAAGCCAGTTAACGGAGTGGTGTGGAAGGGAAGCAGGAGTGTTTTCTGTGTCCACAGACAAAGCACTCCAGTTACTAGAACTGGTTTCTGAGTTAAGAAACTACACTTGAGCGTGGTGGTGCATGCCTTTAATCCCAGCACTGGGGAGCAGAGGCAGGTGAATCTCTGTGATAGAGACCAGCCTGATCTACAGAGCTAGTTCCAGGACAGGCTCCCAAGCCACTGAGAAAACCTGTCTCAAAAAAAAAAAAAAAAAAAAAAAAAAAAAAAAAAAAAAAAGAAAAGAAAAGAAAGAAAAAAAGAAAGAAAGAAAGGAAAGAAACTAGGCTTGAAATGTTCAAATGCTGAGTTCTTGGACAAATGAGATGGAATCTATTTGCTAACAGGTAGATGGCCTTAATGAGATGTTCCTGCCAAGGGAGCTAGTCGATCAGCTTCTGTCTCTGGTGCCCACAATGAATCAAAGTGAGAATTTCCTTCTTCCTGACCTTCTATCTCTCTGTGTCCACCTGATGTTCTTTACTTGGATCCTGGGTTTGTTTTGTGACTTTTAGGTTTTGGGATATGGATCATAGATTTTTCTATTAAAACAAGGTGAGGACTTGCCCTCTCTACTTTTAGTCACCCTAGTTGGGCTTCTGATCCCAGCCCTGTCATCGTAGTTGCCCGAAGAGCCTATACTACACAGCCCCTTAACCAGTACTCTGAATGGTCTCTGTTGATTTTCTTTTTTCATCAAAGTGCCTGCCTGGCAGAGCCCCCTGCAAAGGCACGCTAGAGCAGGGAAATAGGGTGAGACCATATGTGCTCAGTAAACAGCACTTTATAGGATGAACGACTTCTTGAGATACACTCACAAGGAAAAAAAGTAAAGGTTTTTAGAGCTGGTTCAGACTCCTTACCCACACTGTGATTTTCACATGGTAAAGTCAGCATGGCTCACATTTAGACAATTTAGATTTTGGAAGGCTGAGCAGGAAGATTGCGAGTTCAAGGCTTGACTGAGCTGCACCGTGAAATCGAGGAATATAATAGCTCAGTAGCAGAATATTTACCTAGCTTGCAGGATGCCCCAAATTTAGTCCCCTGTAGTAGAAAAAAGTTGACTATATTACATCTGTAACATTCATAAACACCAAGAATGATAGAAAAGAAATGATAAAGTCTTAAAAATGTAGGTTTCTCTGCATTGTTGACAGCTGTCCCCAGTTAAAGCTGTTTAACTGCAATGCCTTTCAATGATTTTTAAATTTGTGTATGTTCCAGATATAATGCCTACTTTTTGAGAATATAAATTTGTTTAATGCCTGTCCCATGATCTACAGAGCCCAAAGTCCACCGGGTGGGGCTGTACACAGGATGAGCGGTAATGAACGTAAGCCACACAATCTTGCACAAGGTAGTAGGGAAAAGCAAACAAGGACCCCTGCCAACACAGGAAGTGTCAAAGGAAGGCTTCTCGGAGGAGGTGGGGCTGTGGCTGGTTTCACAGGCTGCATGAATAAATACCACGAGGAAAGGGCCATTCAAAATGATCGAAGTCATGGAAGGTTGGTATGGTTCCTCATGACTGGGGATTCCTCATGCCTGGGGATTAAACTGCAAAACCATCAAGGGGATTTGGTTAACTGACTCAAAATATGATCATTCTTTTCAGGAAATTGATTGCTTGTTCACAGTAGTAGAAATAGATTTTCCAGAATAAAAACAGAAAAATGTTGCAATGTTTCCTGCAATAAAACTTAAAATTTTCAAGAATTTCTTGAACAAGAACAGTATGACCCAAAATAATAATAACTTTTTAAAGGACATATGGCAAGGTCTGTCTAACTAAATAGAACTATCCTAGTTTGAATGTTAGATATCTACCAAAGGATCAGATATCTTTGGTATCTGATGTCTGGTCCTCAGTTGGTGGCCCTATTTGGGGAGGCCTAGGAAGTATGGCCTTACTGGAAAAAGTATGTCACTGAGGGCCAGGTTTGAGTATCAGATCCTTATGCATTCCCAATGAACTTTCTGTTTTGTGCCTGAGTTTGAGACTTGAGCTTTCGGCTTCCAACTCTAGTGACCATATCTACTCCTTGCTGCCATGTTGTCCCCATCATTATAGACTTAAACCTCTAGGACTGTAAGCACAAATAAACCATTTCTTCTGTTTGCCTTGGTATGTATTTTATCAGAGCAAAGAAACATAACTAAGACAGGATGCAAACATTATGTCCTTAGATGAAAAATCTGAATATTACAAAATATTAACCCTTCCTAAATGAATAAGTGTCTCCTCCAAATAAACAATTTGGTGGCTACTGGATTAAAAGAAAGAAAAACAAAGGGCATGATAGATATAGCCTAAGGTTCCTTAAGGAGATAGGATGAGTGACACATGTAAGAGAGAGGCCTCAAGGTCCTCATCTCAGCAAAGGAAGGATAAGTCACATCTATCATGTGGATTTGATGCTTTTATATACATAAATATGGACTTTTTGAGTCTTGTTTGTTATGTACACCAACCTGTTTTCAAAGTGGTGATCCTCTTGCCTCAGTATCTGCAGTGATAGAATTACAAGCCTGGGCCCCTATGCTGAACGAATACAATGTAGTTTTAAATACGTAAAGCAGATAGAACATGCATATAAAGGGTCTAATAATTTTCTAAATGTTTTCTCCTGAAGACTTGTGTGTGTGTGTGTGTGTGTGTGTGTGTGTGTGTGTGTGTGTGTGTACATGATTACATGAGGTAGATTACTGGTCGCTTTGGGACCTAGTGATTGTTTTTCTTCAGTTAAAAAACTAAGCAGAAAAAAAAAGATGACTATAAGGGCTGGTGAGCTGACTCAGTGGGTAAAGACTGCTGTCTTAGGGCAGTGAGGAGTAATTGGAAGAACATACTCAGCAAAGAAGAAGAGACAAATGGGAAAATGAATTTTAGACAGAAAACTTTGAATACTGCTGATGGGTGGATACACAAACACGGAAGAGAAATAGTTGAAAGTAGCCAAAAATTTTGTGGAACCAAGCACATTGTTTTTTTTTTTATTGTGAGTACATCACATGGCCATGAGCAGTAGACTCAGGTGACTCTGGCTTCTCTTTTACTGTTTCTGACTTTGTTGTGCTGTCCCTCCATTGATCCTTACACTGAACAAAAGGCTTTTCCCTTGTGTTATTTCTCTGTGTCGCCTTTTAACTGTATCTCATTGCCATGGCATTCAAGTCAGAGAGCTGCTTTTTCCTTAGTGGATCTTACCCTGGGTTGGCTTTCTCTTGTCTCTTCTTGACATTTGGGACCTAAGTTGTTGAGGGAAGTACTTAAGGTGTGAGTCTGGGGAAAGCTGAGCAAGATGTTCTTGCCTAGAGTGATCAGATACAATCAGTCTCCGAGTTTCCAGTGTGGTGCAGGCCAGATCACAGGAACAGAGAGGCTGTATCCAAAGTTCTTGTGGTCTAAACTTTTAGAAATGATTAGTGCTTCCTTGCTAACAGAACCCCTCTAGAATATCTTTGTGAATCTGAGGTAGATTTAGGTGATTTCTTAAAACCTTAGAAATCTTGGTCTATAGTTATCTCAATTCATTCCCCCTTAGAAGTGACAAACGTATTTCCTCACTCACAGGAAAGCCTGTGTGGAGCCTCTGTAATGTTTTCCTTTACTTTGTCCTCATCCTTATTTGGGTGTGGTTAGTGTTTGCTCAGGAGCAAGCATCAGACTTAATTCTGTGACTATCATGGCTGATTTCTCTATCGTGCTTATGCTTCACTTTGAGATGTGCTCAATGGTATCTGCCAGACTTTGTTACAGAATCCATATGCCTTCCCAGGGAGAAATCACTCCACTCGCAGATTAATAAAGGAAACAGCTTCTTAATAGTGCATGCAACTAGTTCTGGCTACTACACAAAAGGTAATCAGCCTCAAACAGAAAAGTTTACCACCTTATGTAGGTTTTGAACTTGCACAGTTCACATATACTGTTATCCTTAATTGTCCCTTAGGTCCTGGTCCCAGGTTACACTTTAAACAATTTAAACAGAGACAGGAGGCTACAAGTCTAACCATTTGGGTAAGTGAGAGATTTCTACAACAAAGAAATTGCTAGAATTATTTCTGAAGTAGTCCAGTGCTGTTCTTTTCCATATAGTTGTTGCCCAGGTTCATCTTGTCTACCTGGTGGAAATATGATTCTCCTGACAAGACTACAGGGGGCTGACAGCAGACTAGGACTTAATGGTGATTGTCATTCTGTACTCTCCCCTGAGATGCCCATTAGAGGCATGCTCTTGGATATAGGGATGAATCTCATAGCTGGTTGTAAGTCAGGTTTTTCTCCTTTTGTTAAAGGAATGGTGCCTAAGTGAGGGAGTCAGTCTTGATAAACAAGCATTATGTTTTCTCAGCCACCCTAACAACAATCCTACACTTCCATAATGACACAAAATTTTCTTTCCTGTAGTTTCTAACAGGCCTGATTAGTGCACTACTCACCTTCCAGTCATATTGGAGGCAGCATTCTTTAGCTAAATTCTACTTTACGTAACTTAATATGTCCTAAGGGATTTTATTAATAAATCCGTTATAGCATCAAGTTTACCTCAAGCTTCTATTGAATCATTCCTTTTTTGTTGGAGCTATGAAAATACAGCTGAAGTTTGAAATCCTATGTCACAAATGGCTGAAAAACAAAGTCAACATCTTTCATCATCAGGGAAATGCAAATCAAAACTTCTCTGAGATTTCATACACCAGTCATAATAGCCAAGATCAATAAAACAAATGACCGCTCATGCTCT